TAATGTGAATATGGAATCAAGTTGCGTATATAGCTAATCTGGCTTAGCATCGTACGTCACCTTAACGATCTTATTTATTCATCATCATCAGTCTGTGAATATCTCCACTGATGGGGCATATACCTTCCCTACAGATAGAATTGGGAACATGATCGTGGGCCCAGTGGCTAGGGTTGCCAACCTTACTATATAATATACTAACCTACTAAATTAGGGGATCAAATACTATATGTCTAAAAAAATATATATAGTAGGTGAAACTTGCTTAAAGCAGATTTTTGCCAATAAAAGCGTTCTTACAAATAAAAAAAATATTAAGGCACGGAAGAGCAAAAATATATTCATTTTAAAAATAAAGTAAATATTTTAACCACATACAGTATTTTTTTCCATCTTTTTGCCATCTACTATGTTTTTAGAGGTAACAGCTTCGAATATACTATATTTGTTAGAAAAAAAGTTGGTAACCCTACCAGTGGCATGCCTTCCGGAACACGGAGGAAGTTAGAAAATCGAGATAGATTTTCTATGGTTACCCATTCTATGACCGTGCACTGTGAACTCTGCTTAACTACTGCGCCTTCGGACCTCTCTTATTTCTATTAATTCCTATACCTACTTGATATTTTGTAGACAGATCATGTCTTATTAAAATATTTGTTCCGACGTGGCAAGTGGCATCTGTACATGAGACTTTCCTGCACAAAAAACATGTAACAATTTTCTCTGCCAGCAGAGAAAGATTTTTTGTTTAGTATTCCCAAATCGTTACTATTGCAACCGTCGTCAGCCGCCCACTGGTACTCGTCAGTGTCTCTAGCGACAGTCGAAACCGTAAATTCCAAGCGATCCAATATTCTACGTTCCACTTTGAATTGTCTCACTAATTTTATTGTCCTCTTTTCATTTGGTTAATCGCGTTTTTGTCGATATTACTCGCGGTGACAACCATGACGGCCTAATTTTTTGCATTACGAAAAATCTAGATTTAAGATTAATTATGACATTATATAATTAATGGTTTCTTTGCTTCTTTTGTTGAATATTCGAATAATGTAGGCGCCTATCAATAACAAGACAATCGACTGCTACTTTTGCTTCGGGATCAGTCTAAGTCTACACTGATTTATTATTATTCTGAGATTCTTATTGTATACTCATCATTTCAATTTTACAAGTAATAATATTAAATCGTATAAAAACATATTTTCATATTAAATGTAAGAATAGAAATAAAATTATCGTTTTCATATTGTGTAGCCAAAGGATTCCTTTCGGCGAGCAAATACCTAACTTTTGCGGTCGCGGGCGGTATTTCGACAAATAATTTGGTATTCGTCGGCGAGAGAAAAGCTCTAAAACATAAGGATCAAATTATACGTTTAATACGCGTAAACAGGCCGAATACCTTACGCGTCTATGTAAATGTTTTCTCTTGTGTAGTGCTAAATGTATTTTTAACGACGCTGCAATCCTGACGCGTCGCAGTTTACGTGGCATGACGAGCGCGAGCGCCGTGAGTGTGGAGGCGCATTAACGTGCGTGTCCATCTCGTACTCTTGACATTGCGTGTTGCTATTACTGGTTCATCTTTTGCACTACTGGCATAACTCTATGCTTACATCATAGGATTTGCAGGGGCTTCTATCCTTCGTTGCGATGATAAACAAGGGAATTGCGATGAAGTAACCTCCACCTTACAGAAGACTACAGTAAATTAACACTGGCTTTTGGTGGTGTTGTGTTTCTGCCGGTGAATAAGGTTTCAGGGATCCACGGGGTAGGGGATTGGGTCAGGCTAGGCTAAGGGGTGCGTGTGATATTTTTTGTACAGCAAGCGTCCGTTGGCTATGATCCTATGGTGGCCGCTTACCATCAGGCGGGCCACATGGTTGTTTGCCACCCATTTAAAATAAAAAAACGAGCGAACCTTACAGTAGTCGCGTATGATGTGTAACATTTGAAACCTCACCTTATATCAGTAAAAAAAGAAATAAAACCTACTACAAAAGGAATAAGCCATTAGAACATTATGTTCTAAAATCAAATCAAATAGCGCGCGCTTTTCGACTTCCTGTTACACACTTTCGTCCCATTTCACAAAATCACTCCCACAAATTGCAGGAAAACGAGAAGAAAGATGTTACACATCAAAAAACTAGATGTTATTACGTAGTTGAACTACTACAATACATTGACGGCTTATATGACATTGTGTCACTGTTAAACAACCACGTTTAAATATGAACATAATATGCACGCTTGAAATACGAGAGATTTAAAAGACTCATTTATCATAAGGTTAATGTTTGCTATGTGATTTTAAGGTAGTTTGTGATATCTAACACTTTAGCTATACAGAAATGAACATTATTTGGTTCGGAAATGATTAATGGCATCTTCGTTAGAAAGGACGTGTTGAATGGTTACATAAGGTTGCAGCGTAGCCATCGGTGGATCGGCCAAGGACGGCTTCATCGATCCGGCCCTGGAACCCGTGCGGGCGCACCGGGGGTGCCCTTGCTCCGGCCCGCCTCGTCTGTTGAATAAACACTTGCCGGGTCCCGAACAATTATGGCTTATTATGGTTATGATTATGTCAACAAACCGCCTGCATGTCCTTTTGAGATTAACTGACAATAAAGAATTCATGTAACTGTTGGGAACTAAAAAGCTTTCTTCAATTAATCGTCTTAACTTAAAAACTTGGTGTAACATTCTACAGTGGATCAGATATTATGTGCAAGTGAATCCCGGTCGAGCGCGCAGAATTTCATCGTGATTTTTAAACAGAACATCTGTCGCCTGCAAATAAGTGCTCGTAGGATCCAACCGTCAGTAGTAAATTTGAGATTTTATTATGTAGTATAAAACTTTACCGCCACACATCATTACGTGGAAACGCGGCCAGTACCCACATAACTTGCATAAGTAAAGCCCTCTCAGATATGAAGTCGTAATTAAAATGTAATTGCTTCTGATCTAAACGGTTATAAATCTAATCACTATTAGTATTAGTTTACACTGATTCATTGAATAGTTTTATGTAGACGTACGAAATGTCCCAAAAATCTCAGACAAATTAATAATAACGATAGAGTGTTTTCAGTTAATAAATTTCTTCAATGCTGAATGCATCTAGACTTTATACAACATTTTTGTATTTTTTTACAAAATACACGCATTTAATCACATCGTTACACACCTTATGACCAAAAACAAGTGTCTATTAGATAAATAATAATAATTATCTATATAATATATTCTAAATATTCAGATTGTGTATTCAATTTGTGTTGCAATTATATTTATGCAACCAAGGTTTAGTGGGTCATGAAAAAAGCAGTACCGGCGCTACCAGGTGCTCTTCGAGCCATATTGTTGCTACATGCGGTCACGACAGAACAATTCAAGTTACTGCTATGAAACTATCTATTTGTTAATACATTTGGCCTAGTTTTATTACTACATACTTTGATAGAAAGAGTACCTATTTAAATCAATACATGCCTATCCTCACGCCATAAATCCCATTAAGGTATAGCAGTGCATCAAAGGTGCTTGAAAGTCAAAACACCACTCGCATCAATCATTCTTTAATGGCGTTACAATTGGCAGTGGTCAGTCAGGTCGAAGATCTTGTCCGGAAACTTGTCTTAAATAGGTGTCCAGCCCATCGCCAACATTTTCCGAATATGATAGGATTTTACATCTGCACTGGAAAGTTATAGCAGATGGCGAATTTCAATGTTTTACTTTTACTACCAGTCCGGCATGGAAGACAAAAACTAATTTCCGTTTTTGATTTAGTAATCAATAGATTCTAATCAGCCAAAAGTTGCCATTATATTTAACCTTTGAACTCAAGTGTATATACAAGACCTCGCTTGCTTCATTAAATATCCATTTTGTGTAGATATCATAATGATGTTGATTGTTGACCTAGCTTCAAGGCTCTTAAGGCGTAATGGGGTAGATGCTGTGTTTTAAAACGACAATGGTAGATATATGAATAGAAGATTATTAAATATTAGTAAAGCCTTGTTTAAGATGGGTGGATACGAAGCATGTACTTTATATGGGTAGTATCCAACATAAAGCAGACATTTTGTTGGTTATTATATTTTTAAGCATTTAACTGTTAGATGCTTAAATCTTGTGGGTTACCTACAAAGCGAAGAGATGGTGCCTTGCAGCTGGCAGCAGTTGCAACCTAAGAAAAAGTAGAAGAAGTCCGATATGGCTATTAAAAGGTCTCGGTAGCATGATTGGTCAGTGCATCCGCCCGGATAGCGAAGGGTGGGTTCGAGTCCCGTCTGCTGCCTGAACCACGTGGATTTTTTTTTACACATTTTCTATAAAATAAAATCCTTAGAATTATATATATTTTATAGTTTGTATTGTGGGTGTATTACGTTTGTTAATACATCACCTAGTATAGTTGTAGTATCGCAACTGCGCTAATAATAGAATAGACGAGCGGCGACGCCCGCGCGGCACGCGCTTCCATTCACCATTCAGCGGTGGCCTTGGCCGCCCATGGAGTATTGACGCATCCTGGCTCACGACTACGTCTCATATAACAGACGTACACATTCGCATGTTATATTTACGAGCCGATTTTACGCTTCAAATAAACGTCGATACCAATTGTATGGGTCAAACCTCGTTTACATACCTACAACGCATTCCTTAATTTTATGGAGATGCGAGATGGTCTTGACTTACAACATTTGAAGCAGAAGCTGTTCGTAATAAAGTCATACATATTTACTCTGAAACCAAAACAAAATGAATGTTTAATTAACTAATTTTACTATGAAAAAACTTACAACCAACAACAACTGTGTGTACAAAATGACAACATGGTATTTAATTTAGTTAACTGTATACATTTAAAATTATTGCCTTAAATATGTAAACGGTACTGATAAATTTCCAAGATCACGTTAGATTCGAAGTGGTTAATTCGTTTTGTTCATTGAAACCTTTATTTTCAGAACCAAAGAAAGACAAATTGGAAAATGGTGGAGAGCTGGTGAGACCTGAACGACCCAATTCCTTGACGGCAGCCGGGAAGCTCCCACGGCGAATATGCTATCAAGGAGACGTTGGTAAGTTCGCTTATGAAATAACCTTAATGTTTGACGATGGCTTACTACGGTGGGCAGTAATTAAAAACACACCAAGTGGCCGAGTAACATTGGAGAAACCAAAGGTATTATTAAATAAAAATGCTCCGAAATTTCATTCCTCAGCGAAATGCACTGCTCAAAGCACCTTGGCATTTAAAATCTGCAAGTGTTGTGGCACAACAAAAGCCTTGACTATGTTTATCAAAACGCACACCTAAGTCAGTACTTACTTTGTCACTGATATACAAATGTAAGCGAAAGTCAGTACTTTCGCTTACATTTGTATATCAGTGACAAAGTTTTAATGCTAAGAACATACAGGCAATGAATGATCAAATAGAGACCGAACACAAAAAAGATATGTAAAATTATTGAAAAAAGATAATTTTTTATTACCTCAACGTCGCAGCATTGTGTGACTTCTCGCAAACCACTCGATTCACCGTGACGACTGAATGAAAGACAACGTCGTAAATACACGGGGGATTCGGAAACTCAGAACTATCAATAGAACATTACTTCGAGCAAATATTACTGATAAATATTATAAGGAGAATGTAATGACGTTAATCAAAAGGCTGCGACGACCGGGCTACTGTTACTAACAAAGGTGATTTCAGATGACAGACTTGGTAGATTAGGGCTTACGCCTTTCGGTATATATATCGCCTATACCAAACGTAACTTCTTATCGAGGCAATCGAATTTTCGAGTGCTTGTTTTTATGCTGTTTCGCAGTTTTTTCACCACCTTTACGCCAAATTCAACAGACAAGCTACCAAATTATGAAATGAAGAATTTTTCTTGAATATTTCTGAAAATTTTAAGTCAAAAAAAATCAAATACTGATAGCTCTTTAGGTAAGACAAGGGTTAAATGACCTTATGCTCAGCAGTGGGCGTCGTATGGCTGAGATGATGATAAAAAGTCCGTACAGGCTCTTGATTATTAGAATTAATTCAAAACAAAATAATAGTATTATTCTTATAAGTTTCAAGTTCAAGCTTTGTTTTAACTTGTAAATATGTACTATTTTTAGTATAGGTTTTCTTGTTAGAGGCGCTTAGGGCCAAAACGACCATTGTTCTTTCCAGTAGGTGGGTACGGGGCATCCGGCGGCGAGGGCGGCGACGGCGGCGACGAACCCCTGGTGCTGTCAGAATTACCGGAGCCGCCCATCGCCTTATCGGAGATCGGACCCATTCCGCCGCCGCCCATGTTCAGCTCGCCGAGCCCCACCCGCCATCATCAGCACCAACACCAACACCCTACAATACAGCTTCCTCTGTCTGACTGTGAGTGCTCTAGAGGTGCCGCTTCCCTAAATTGTAATCAAAGTTGCCGGAGCCGCCCATCGCCATATCGGCCCGGCCCGCCGCTTCCCATGATCAGCTCCGCCCGCCGTCACCAGCACCAACACCAACACCCTGCAATACAGCTTCATCTAACTATGAGTGCTCTAGGGGTACCGCGTCCCTATTGTGTCACAGTCACAGTTACCGGAGCCACCAATCGCCTTATGGGAGATCAAGCCCAACTTGCCGCCGCCCATGTTCAGCTCGCCGAGCTCCACCCGCCATCACCAACACTAACACCATGTTATACAAGCTTCCTCTGTCTGATTGTGAATGCTGTATAGGTGCTGCATCCCTATAGTGCTGTAGCAGCTGTAGGATCGCGCCGCCGCCCATGTTCAGCTCGCTGAATCTAACCCGCCATCACCAGCATCAACACCAACACCCTGCCATACAGATTCCTCTGTCTGGCTGTGAATGCTCTAGATGTGCCGTGTCCTTATAGTGCTGTCAGAGTTGCCAGAGCCGCCCATCGCTTTATCGGAGGTCGGGCCCGCCCCGCCGCCGCCCGTGTTCAATTCAAAAAAATCTGAACCTGCACCAACACCAACTTCCTGCTGTACAGCTTCCTCTGTCTAACTGTGAGTACTCTAGAAATATGGGTAAGTCGAATGTCTTTATATGGCTTCTGTCACCGTACAGACCTAGGTTAAATATGCCCCTGGCCTTATCCGTGATCGGGTCCATCCTTCCGCCGATCATGTACAGCTCGTCGAGCCCACCCGCTATGAGCTCGATTGCGCAAGTGGATAGCGCGTTTGGTCTGCGACCGTGGAGGTTAAGCAACTTTCGCAATGGCTGGTCATCGGATGGGTTACCAAAAATTACTATCTCGACCTTCTCCTCTGTGATTCGTAAGGTTAAGCCGTTGGCCCCGTTTTTTGCATGCTTTTATGCAGTGGTTAGCTACCACCTTTCTGCACCGGACACGCATGGTGGGTCATGACTCGTTCTCCATTGGGAAGGCCAGTGCGCCAGCAGTGGGGAAAGTAATAGTCTAATGATGACGATTATGAATTTATGTCGTGCCTTTCTTAAAATAGTGAGAAACCATAGCGTAAGCATTCCGATTCAAGTGAAGATACACAATTTAGCTGAGCTCAGTTCAATAGTTTTATAAAAAAAAATGGACATTGCCCATTCTACAGAATAAACCCAGTGTTTACTTACTTACCTACCTACTTAGGTCAAGATATCGACGACTTAATAAGTTAACGATTTGACTCACATCTTGCACTTGTTTCACAGCCGAAGAGGAGGATGAACACGAGGACGAGGACACCCCACTACCAATGACGGACGCAGCCCGCGTAGAAGAGATCCCGCCCAAGGAGCCCAGCTTCAACGCGGTGCCGCTCAAGTCGGCGCTGAAGAAGCGGCCCGCGCCCTCCGCCTCACCTGCAGCCACGCCCCTCGCTACGCCCCTGGCGCCCCGACAGGACCACCACCACGCCAGCTTCAAGTCAGTACCTGTCTACTCTGAGATATCCCCCTTAACCCCTGGTCTGTGTAACCCGCCACTTTTTTTTCACGGCCAGATAATCACAAATAATTCCGGCTAATATTCCTCTCGACTTCTACTGTACATCCGGGCTTCATTTATGTCTTTTAACAATCCTGAATAGTTTATGTACATACTTATCCATACAGGGTGGTCCAATTACTGAGGTGTACATTTTTTTAGATTGCTCGCACCTGGGGATATCCAAAAATACCCCATGTATGTTCCGCGATTTTTCTTAGTATTCGAGTTATATTTTTTTTGTGTATTTTTAATGATTTCTGCCAGCGAGGATCCAAACATTCATATCTTTTTTCGTAGTTGGTTTTTAGTCTTTTTTTTGTGACATAATTGTCTTGAATGTTGTTACAATAATAAAATAACTCAGCTTCCTAAAATTACTTCAAGTTACTCAAAAAAGGCTTGAAAGTTGGAACTTTAGTTTTAGTGGGATTTACTCAAACATTCAACTTCAATTTAAAAATACTAGACTTACAACGAATAGTTATTCGGCAGTATACCGAATATTCGGCGAGGCCCCTGACCGAATATTAGGCAAAAGTATTCGGCTGGATTTTAGCGCCAAAAACATGTACAGACGTGATCGTTTCGCGCTCCTTTGTATGCAGTGCAATTCAGTCAAATGCAGTTTCAACAGAAATGGATCTTTTCTTTATATTAGTAATATATCACGTCATGACAACCCGTATACATGGTGGCAGCAAGGAAATTTGAATTTCCATGTTTGATTAAGATTGCAGCAAAATATTTGTCAGCGCCAGGAAGTAGTGTTTATTCAGAGCACCTTTTCTCTGAAGCTGGGATGGTCTATGAGAAAAAAAGAAGAAAACTACTTCCTATAAATGCAGAAAACTTAGTCTTTCTGCACCATAACCGTCCCCTTCTAAATTTTGATAATGACAATAATTCAAATGCACAGAAAAATTCTTAACTTGTTTAATACTGAAAATGATTAAATTATGTACCTGTTTTATGTACCATGACTACTTGATAAATGATTATAAAAGAAATGAGAACCTTGCCCTTCTAAATTTTGATTACCTCAATAATTCAAATACATAGAATCCTCCATTTTTCCAATTCAGAAGATAATTATGTACCAATGACTACTTAAATGACTATATATAACAGAAATGGAAATATGAATAATATACGTAATCAATCGATTTTAATTTTTCATTTTACCAATTATTCCTCTATGACAAAATATATTATTTAAGTATTCGGTATTCGGCCGAATATAATAAAAGCAGCCGAATAGGCCGAATACCGAATAGTAACCGAATATTCGTTGCAAGTCTAAAAAATACAAAAAGGAGTTTCCATAGCTTCTGGCTAAAATTAAAAACTCCGCATGCTTCTAAACTACGAAAAATCATAAAAAAAGTTGTACTTAATCAGCCTATTTTTGTTGTAATTGGCCTTCGAAGGCGGATAGGCTAAAAATCATCGAAACACGATTAAAGCATTTTATCTACTTTTTATCATTGTTATGGTAAATTAAACTTAAAAATGTAATTTCAAATTAAATTTAATTGAAATTTCTGTAAAATAACTTTAGCATGTGGAATTTTACAATAATTTCGGTTTTACCACTAAGACATTTTGACATGTATGGTTCTTAAATATGATGCATAGCATCTTATGACTTAGTCACCTTGTACAGGAATAACAAATAATAGATAATAGTCATGAGTCGCCATTCTCGATAGCTTCTTTGATGACACGGGTCATGACAAATTATACAAGTAAATAGCTCACGTCTATTATTTTTTACTTTGAAAAATTCATCTGTGAAAAGATTACGATTATTTAAAAAGAGATAATGGCGTTTATGGCTTATGGCGACATGAAATCTGTTACTTTATTGAAGTAAATTATAACTAGGGTTTATTAATATATTTTGCCGTTTGCGCAAATGACAATAATGCAATGCAGTTTAATTATCTAAATTAGTGATTATGAGAATAAATAATAACCCCCCAGCAAAAAGGTTTGCAGCTTTAGACTATAAAAATATAACTATTTGTACAGATCATTAGAATCATTTAATCATACATCTTAACAAGGTAGCTAGCTAATTTTGTATACTGTTGTACTATATTGATATATCCCATTTTAATCAACTATACCTTAAAGTTAGCAGAAGCATTAAAACAAAATAAAAATAGGATTTGAAGTTAGTGATATAATTATACATTTTTGTTTTTCGACATAATAGTATTGAATCGATGTATTATTGGTTGTGGGCATACTTGTGAAGTTGTTCGTTTATTTCCATAACGCGTGGCTGCAGGCGGCCGCCGCCTAAACCGAGGATCCGCATATGGTAATAGTCCCGACGTTAAGCAATGTTGTCGATCAAGTCACACCAATAGGTCTACTCCAACATGCGAAACGAAAACCAAAATACTGTCCGTTCACCATCAGGGGCGTATTTACCCTAGGCCTAAAGGGTTATGGTCCGGCCCAGCAGGCTGCGAGGGGCGGCAGAAGTCTTATAAAGGCATTCTTTATTTACTTATATTATTATTATAAAATAAGAAATAAAAAATCCTATCCAATAAATATAAGAAAACATAATTTCATTTAAAATAGAGATCAGAAAGCGTCGTAATAATATTACCAGGATCTTATTTTTTATCTTATTTTATGGTGGGGTATGCAAGTCTTAAGAGGCCCAAGGGCCTGATTTTAAAATACGCTCCTGTTCACCATACGATAGGCGCTGAGTCTTGTCCTTTATTGGGAATTTATGCACAACGACGAATGACGCCTTGTATGGTTGATTCGGCGTTGTTTCGTCTTTGTTTCGCATTGTAGGGTAGACCTAAGAGGCCTACCGACGGCCCGCTTCGCCTTACGCGAGTTCACACGCGTGGTTTATATAACTTTACTGTACCGTGTATTGTGAAGCTTTTAAATACTAAGTGGTGGTAAGATTTCTTTAAATAATATTATGTAATTGGCTAATTCGAAAAAATAGGAAATTAAGTTTTGATGTCAAGTTTGTACCAAACGTTTTTGTTGTTGTTGGATTGTATTGATGAAGTTATTAAAAGTTACTACCACTACTAAGGAGTTAGTCAGTAGTTTGAATGTGATTTACAATACATGTTACATAATGTTACGCATATCACGCGCCTGGTCTCGGCATTAGACCATGCATCGGTGCATTGCACGCTTCCGTCTTATCATCTGTCTTCATATCTCCTAACTTTAATGCTCGATCCACTCGACTCCAGAACACCTACTAATAACACACGAGTGTTTGAACTCACTTCTCACTAAACAGTGGCAATGACCATCATTTTAACATCGAGTGATCCCAGTTCCAAACATTTGCATTCGTTGACTAAATTTATGTTTCTGAACCATTGTTGACTTAATGTATACTATGATATTGAATTGATGTTTTGCGTACTCGATATGACGACTTTATTTTAAAATTTGTTGTTGTGTTGCATGTAATCGTATGTTAAACATTTTAATAGACATGATTTGTTAATTTATTCTCTGTTACTCTATTACTTCATTCTTCCAAATTCTTATTCGTTTTTATTTAGCTTGTTCTTATATTATTTTAGACCATCCGACCAGATTGTATAATGCGATAAGTTGTTATTGATGATTAGTAACGATTAGATTGCTTTATTTGTTAATTTATTAGTAAAGCTATAAAATATTGTCTTTTTTTAAATATACGGAGGAACAAATTGATACAAAAATATTAAGAAACATTTTATGTAGTATCATACAAATTAAGACATTAACAAACAATAATATATCATTGGCATGACACCGAATACCATAATCGCATATCGTGATGCATACAAGTAGACTGTAACACTTATTTTTCAAGATTAACAAACACACCATATAGGTTTCGCACTGCCTCGGAGACATTATCGTAAATATTAAACTTTTGTTTGTTTTTATTAAACAGCAGTCGGCCGGTGCGTGTAGGTAACGCAGTGGAAAACAAGGAGAACGCTCGCCCCTGGGAAGGGGAGTATCGTGATGACTACGCTACTGAATCAGAGCGAGTTGCCGCCAAACTCGCCCGAAAGGAAAGTCTCAATATCAAGCTGGCGCTTCGACCCGACAGGCAGGAGCTTATCAACAGGTAATCTCACTTTCTTATCTCAGAAACCTACATAATTTATCATAGTGCTGGTTTTAGCTTGACACACCAACTTTACTTAAAAGAAACCGTTAATATTAAGCAATTTATAATTTTTATATATTTTAATAGCCTGATTGATTGTGATTTTGCTTGCGTTTCCACGCAGACCTTCTCATACCTTTAAAGACAATTAGTCTAGCTTCAAAGTAAGCACTGTTGGGCTTGTGTTATAGGCTACTACGGTTACAGATAGAAATATATACAAAGATAACTTATATAAGTGTATAAACAGTCATGACCCAGGTACAAATACGAGTATTTATCAAATATTTTCTCTTACCTGAATTGAAAATCAGTGTACATACCACTCTACGATGGAAGTCGACAAAAAAGATAGAATGATTAGAAAAAATAACGTCAACATATAATCGTCAGACTACATATTACGTAGAAGTAATTATCACTACGGTATACTTCATAATAATTGAACTAACGCTTATTTCAGCTTTCCCGTTGACATTTACGGCATACATATTCAACTGTTAATTGAAGTCGCTCTCATTTAATAGAGTAATGCAGACGCCATAATTTACGTTTGTGTTATTGTCGCGCATTAAAACTAAAATTAACATTTTATTTGCAAAATTTCAGTTTTTTATGAAGGTCATGTAATTAGTTAAAAGTATTATTAATATCTAAAGAATTTTTGTAAAAAAGTTTATCTCGGTATATTTATCTGGTTTGATCCAACGTCAATGATTTCTTATCGATATTAAAATTTAGCTGATTAAAATAATATATACTTTCCTAGTTAAAAAGTATGTTTTTGTACATATATATCGATGATTATTATATATATATATATATATATTTAAATAAGCAGAATTTTACAGAATGTTAAGTGTAAGTCCCCGATCCGAGTCCTATGAATAGGCGTGTTTATTGATAAATGCTCTCATTTGGAACCACCGAAATAATTCGCAGTATGACCGAGCACCAAAAGTAGCATCCTATAAATTAGCAATTGAATGAGTCAGAACAAATCATCAGTGCGGCTATATAGCGGAACGCGTCAACACGGCCACTAAAAAGCCGTAGATTCATTTTGTGGCCAAAATTGGAATGTTGATAAATATCGAATCTATCTTTAGGTTTGTGTGTAAACACATTTTTATATAGCGGTGTTTTTTTTTGCACTATGAGTAGGTACGTAATAGTTACGTTTCACGCCCGAAATTCGCTTTGCCCGGCGACCATGCACGCCTGGGAGTGTTATTTTTGTCAGCGTTTCTCGGACAAAGTCATTGTTATCGACGTTCCCTTCTTCCTGGTTTCGTAAGCTCGCACTTGGCACTGGCATTGTGTAAATATTTGTCGTCATTGACGGCTCGTGAAAAATGGGTCTCTCGAATCGTCGTTATCTCAAAACATTACCTAGGTAACATTATGTTTTGTCCACGCAAAATACGAGAGAAAGTTTGGTGCGTTGTGATGAATAATGCTTGTTAATTAATTGGAAGTAGTTCTTAACTGCGGGATTTGGGATACGGCCAAGAGAACGTGATAATCGCGTATTATTAAAACATTTTCATCTTTGGCTAATTTTGTGTTGTCGGGTGCCGTTGGCAGTGCGCGTGCGCATGTGCATGTGTAGCGGCATAAATATCGTGCGGGTTCTAAGAAGTTGGATCGGGGTAGTAGTAGGTAGTGTCGTGTTTGCTGTTAGTAACATTCGTTGCGGGTTTTATGAGAGTTGAATCGGATAGTAGGCATGGTGGTACAGTCTGTCGTGTTGCCGGCAGGAACATTTTGGTGGTGCAGAGCGAACACGAGCGCCAGGAGTCGTGGGAGGCGATAGGCGCGCGCCTCATACGCCGGCTGTCCATGCGGCCCACCGCCGAGGAACTAGTCGAGAGGAACATACTCAAAAGTGAGTACAATATAAGTCGATAGTTTTATTCAATTGCAGGTCCTAGTGTACCGTAAATACTTCCAGTCAAGGTGTTGTATGTTTTTTATTTTTATAAAGTAGGAATGCAGCTTGCATGACCACAACAAAAAGCTATAGTGACAGCAAATAATCGTTCAGCTGTCAAAATACAATTAATTTTAATACATCCTAACACAACTCTTCAGTTTGTAATCTTGGGTTTTCTATAGATAATTAAACCCTTTGTTTGGTAGTACATATACGCTTGTTTATATGACTTATCAGTTGTAGAGTTGTACATATTATGTCTCTTATTTTTCCACATTTTTCCATTTATATATGATATTTAATTTTAGACCGGTTATTTTTATTTCAAAATGTATATTTCAGGTCAATCCCCCGCCGAGGAGAAGAAACAGAAAGAAGAAAAGAAGAGGTATCTTTTACGCAAACTTAGTTTTCGGCCGACGGTCGACGAACTAAAGGAAAAGAAGATTATTAGGTTCAGTGACTACATTGAAGTTACGCAGGTATGAAAAATTCCCGTGAACAATATACTACAACTTTCGTTTTTCTGAACAATAGCTTTGGTCGTCATCGCATTCCTCAAATTGTTCTCGTTTAATTACTGGTGATAATTAGAAAGGTACAAGGTAGTATTGAAATATGTGATGATAGAAAAAGTTGACATATACAATTGTATGTGTTTATATTGATGTTAAATTTACTCATCACCTGGCTAAACGCGTGGGCTGTAATTAAATTGTAACATGATAACAAATGACATCGATATTTATCTGTGAAGGCATGCATCATATTTATAGAGCACGACAAAGCATTCGTCTCAGTAATTAAGCTTTTATTACGTGTATTCTTTATATGAGAATTGATTTATGATTGAAATTTATATCATTCTATGCAAAGGCCATTTGATTTTCAATGTTATTTTACGACAATATTAAGTGAAATACGTTCGAGTTGCTGATTCTGGTTCGAGGATGATTAAGCTTTAGTAATCAGACTGCTGACTGATGTACAAAAATAGATTTATTGAAAGTGTCGTAATTTTTATGTAGATATAAATTTGTTAGTCTATTTACTAAATACGTGGGGTTATCAGAGCATCATGCGACTGCAATTAAATCCAACGAATAAAAGAGTATGTTTAAAGGTAGTTGTTGGTGTTTGCAAAAAGTTGCCCGTCGCCTACTTCTAATTTTTTTTATACACACCAATTAGCATAGCCCCAGAGTAAGCACTATAAGGCTTGTGTTATGGGATACTAGGGTAACGGATAGAATACATATACTGTGCATATATAAGTATATTTATATACAAATACATATTAAACATCCATGACTGGAGAACAAATGCTCGTAATTATCACACAAACATCTGCCCCCAACGGGATTAGAACCCGGGACCTCTCGAATAGGCGACACCATGAAACCCAGCGTACAAACCATTCGGCCACAGAGGTCGTCAAATTGGAGGTTTTAATTGTGGTTAAGTTATAGATAACATTTCCCGTACCAAAAATCACGTGTAATTTTTGCCTATAGGATCTAAAGACGCATTGCAAACGGCGGAGATTTGACAAAAAAATAAGTACACGCGATATCTCACTTCACCCCCAGAGTAAGGTGGTTCGAGCTCAACGGGGTAGGAATTAGGACTAGGGCTGCCAGCCCCAGAATGATATTATATGCTTAGTTTTGTGGAAGTAACCCACTGCTTAGCGCATATAATCTGTGATCGTAGCAGCTCAGCAATTTTTGCAATATGGCATAAAGTTCCCTTCATATAGTATAAACAATTACAGTGACGAAAAAATATGGTTTTGTTTTAAATGCTCCCGATTTTGAAACTCTTAGTGTGACGTCACAATCCATAAAACCAGCAAAAACTTACGAGTCTACAGTAAGATTGGTATATACATTAGGAGGTTAGGTGCGCGAACACTACGCACTCGCACTAGGTAATTATAGGATGCTCGTTGACGCATAACATATTGACATATCCTGTGAAAATGGCGCTTGTTTATTGATTTTTGTTATGTATTTCTATGTCACAATTACTCTGTCGCGTTTCAGACGTCTTGATTTCCCACAAGTTTTTAGCACTTTAATTATTAATTTCTTACTCAAAAATAAATTTTATTAAAAAATATTGATTTATGGACACATAAAAAAAGAGTCTTATTTATTTGAATTATATGTATATTCCTTATTGTCGTCAAAGAATGGGTGACGAAAAATGTATCTCCTCGAGCTCTTCTTTGCTTCGAAAAGTACGTTCAGCTGTTGATTCACGCTGCTTTTACAGTTATGACGAATGCTTTGTTTGCAAATGAATATCGCTACTTGCTAAAGCCTAACTTTTTTTTAATCTCTATCATTTCATGGTTGGGAATGTAATAAGTTATGTCACATTGACACACTTCTTTAGATTTGGAAGGTATCATTTCCTTCCGTGAAAAGAGATAAAGTTATTATTTATTACGTTGTCACACTCGCCAATTATTTCACATAATAGTATAAAAATGGCATAAAGTGTGCTTTACTTACCCGTTTGAAAAGAGTTTCAAGTAAGACAAGCAGCCCCCAAGTAACTCATTGTGATATTGTAGGCTAATCGTGACATATCCTTTGCGACCACCGAGTACCCCCACTGGAGTCCGCATTAAGAGTCTCACTGAGGAACAGTGGCGGCGCAAGAAGAAGGCCTAAAGTTAATGTGGGCCAGGTATATCTCGCGAGGCCCTCTGATGGTGCAAAAAGTGTTTATAAAATAAAACAGGCTACGCCTAGACAGGCGTTTCACAGACGTGAAACTCTTTAAGTGTCTCACTGACAGAGGCGGCCTGCGGCCGCGATCAGCTCTTATTGGTCAATCGTGTTCGAACACTCGCCTACATTAAAAGTGCATTCAACTGGCCGCAGGCCGCGGCGTTTTTATTGGACACATTTGTGTGACGACGTCTAGGGTTGTGTCTAATGCATATATTGTGATACTACTACCTAGGCTTGAAGAAGGGCACCCTTGTATGCGAACTTTAGTGGGTTTACTCTGTGTCTGCGACCTTAACGTCTGGTGACGAATAAGACGCACAGTGTTTTAAGAAGAACCACGATTTTGTGACATGCCCTTTTTATCCCGAATTCCTATAAATTAAGCTATTATAAACACTGGAAAAATACTGAAAAATTACTACGCCTCGTAGTTTTCGAGAAAAAAAAAATCAAAATTGACCTATTTTAGAACTAGGAATTTAAAAAAAATCATCTAGCTCCTCTATTATTCATATTGTTTTAGTTTTGGTTAAAGTTTTATATATAGCTTTGTATTATACATCTTTTCACAAATTTTGAGCTTTCTAAAACAAACCGTATAGACCTTTTTTTTAATTTTCGTTTTCATTTTTTTTCTTAAGAATAACGGCGTATTCGGATAATATTTATACATGAAAATATTGAAGTTTGTTGTCCCTATGTAGAGTATTTTTAATGCAACCGAAAACCTCGTTATGTACAAGTTATAAACAAGAACATAAATTAAACATAATTCCGGTATTAGGGTTGTCACTTCCGGAACTGAGTATTTAAAAATAAAATGAGTTCCTATAATATATGTTAATAAGCATTGTTTTAGCATATATTATATGACCTATTTATTGTTATTGGAGAACAAAGAGAATATAACTTATAGGTATGTAACTAATAAGACTTAAGATAGTTTTTATTACAAAATATTTATGTATTATAAGGATTTACCGACGCAAAATCGGCAGTGTTATTTGTTGTATATTGCATGAACAATAGGCTAGTTGCCTATATTTTAAATAGTGGTTAATAATATACCTTGATGTTTATTTAACCCCAAGAAATATTATTTTAAATAAAAAAGTACATTAGCAATATGTATTTTGTATTTTAAAAAACTTATTCAAATTTCCCTCGAAAACGCTTTAGACTGTCATGGCGTCTAGAATGACGTCACGCCGTGCAAAGCAAACAATACGCTGTACGCCGACTATTAAAATTATTTAGTTAAAAATGAATCCATCGTATTACAAGTACTGCATAGTGTCCTAGTATAAAAGGAGAAGCATAAAACGCCAGACAAATTATTTATATGCCACAAATGCGGAAAAAATGGTTAGAAGTTACAAGGAGGGATGGTATTCATTCATTGTTTATCAACAAATACAAGAATAATTTTGTGATGAACATTTTGATGTAAGTATTTTGCATAACATAATCAATGAAATCAAAATGTTATACAAGCCGGATAAATTATATTGCATTATATTGATAAAACAATGACAATAGGTTGAGGTTAGGTAAGTTGATTTAATTTTATGGTATGATTTAGAGTCTATTTGAGAGTTCAGTATTCATAATAATAAACACTTCTTATTCTTGTTCTAGTTGCCAAATGATATGCTTAATTATGTCGAGTAGTTATGCGATAATTTTTTTATTTTGGTTAAAATATTATTATTTTCTTCGGTAAATCCCAATTCCATGGATATATTAGCCTTCCTTTCAATAATTATCTGAAAACAAACTGATAAATTGTATCAAAGTAACAATAACATGAATGAGAAATCAATGAAATGTATGGAAACGGCAACCACAATTATTGTTTTGCACGTGGTGACGTCAGTCTTTCTGATTGGTGTTTGCCGTCACGTGATCTAATGCCTATTTTATTCGAATTTATTTTCTAAAAATAATAATAATCTTTAATTATTATGATAAATAGCTTTATTTTTTGTTATCTGTATATCATAATTCATATTTAGAAACTGTAACCCATTCGATTTATTGTTAGTTGACACAAGCCTATTATACAATATTTTGGAGTGACGATGAAAATAATCTTTTTGCTACTACATTTGTTCCGCTGAAGCTCGTTTTAAATGAAAGGGATGTTGTTTTTTCTAATTCAGCTCCACTATCACATAGATACTGCAGACCTATTCATATTCAATACTAGTGGCCCGCCCTCGCTTCCCTTCGGTGTAGAGTTGTAGTGTAAACTATAGTTTTTGTTCTCAGGCTTGTGCTATAAACAATGACTTTATTTATATAATTACACGTGTTATTGTGAGTCAACCATAAAAGATAGACATATGCTGTTGAGGGATATTTTTTAGACAATTTTATGTAGAATATTTCCGTCATACATGATTTCTATGTAACTTTAACCATTTAGGCTGCACACGCGACGGAAGCTTAAAAAATGGAGTAACTTCTCCCGTTTTCCCAACATTTCCCTTCACTACTCTGCTGCTATTGATTGTAGCGTGATGAAAAGTATACTATAACCTGCCCAGGAGTATGAAAAATAATTGTACCAAGTTTAGTTAAAATCCGTCGAGTAGTTTTTGTTTATATAAGGAACATACACACAGACAGACAGACAGACAAAAAATTTACTGATTGCATTTTTGGCATCAGTATCGATCACTAATCATCCCCTGATAGTTATTTTGAAAATATATTTCATGTACAGAATTGACCTCTCTACAGATTTATTATAAGTATAGATATAGATAGGAGAACATAGAATTAATTCTAGCAGAAAAAGAATTAATTTGGAAATCAAATATCTAATTTGCAACGGCAAGGCAAAACCTCACAAGGTCATAATATACCCGTAAGTTGTGAACTATATTGTGCAGCTATTGATGGAAAAGTCCTTAACATTTTATTAAATACGTCATCGCAAATGCGTTGTCCGTATTGTCGATTAACATAGACCACCTTCAATAACTTGGACATGGCTTTTTCTAAGCCATTAAATCGAGAGCTATTGATTGCATAAAGTGTGCTTTACTTACACGGCTTAAGTCCGCTTCAATTTTGGATACGAGTGCTAGAATTTCTCTTACGACTTAGCTATAAAATGTATGTAAAAAAATGGCGTATCCCACACAATTCTATAGATTATGTCAAAATTGAAGAGCGCAAAAAAAAATTAAAAATGAAGTGAGAAAGCAGATGGGTTTACTGGTCGTCGTAGTGCGCCCCAATTCGGGTACAACAAATGATGGCAATACAGCACGAACGGCTTTGTCGGACAAGTTCCGCCAAAAATTTTCCCAAATCCTGAGGATTTTTGTAAAAATCTGGCTTATAAGTATGTCGCCACCTATAATCGGTGTCCGATGGCCATCACGTTGCACAAAGTTTTAATTCATGGTGCCGATATTATCAAATCAGCCACTATAGGGATGCTTTCGGAGCAGGCTGCCGAGACTCGAAATAAATATTGGCGGAACGATAGGGGAGCACCATACCCGAAAAATGAGCCGTGAATTTATTTAATAGAGCGCTGGAAACATAACCCTGTTATAACAAATATTCGAATGCAAGAGAGAAAAAATAATCAAAACTTGACACCATTACCATCTGCAGTAGTTTCTTTATTAAAAGTGGCAGATCCAAGTGACGCAGTAAGGGATATTGATTTTGAGGACTACGTCGATTCTTTCGTTATAAATACAGAAATAAATGATTCATTGTAAATATTTATTTATGAGAAGTAATTTATATTTCAATTTCATAATTAAATGGCCGGAATAAAATTTTTGTCATCTCTGAAAAAAAAAGTTTTTAGCTCGTAACTTCTACATAACGCGGTATTCGGTTGCAAAAAAAATACTGTATATAGGGACAACAAAGCTCGATATTTTAGTGAATAAAATTCATCCGACTACGCTACTTAGTATAACGACTAAAGAAAAAAAATATAAATGAAAACTTGAAAAATAAAACATATCGTCTATACGATTTGCTTTAGAAGGCTCAAATTTTGTGGGAAAATCTATTGTACGAAGCCACATAACATACATTTAATCTAAACAAAAAACATGTTGAATAGAAGAGTAACATTGTTTTTTGAAAATTCCGGATCAAAAAAGGGTTAACTTTGAAATTTTTTTTCTCGTAAACTACGTATCCTAGAAAATTTCCAGTATTTTTTCAGTACTTATAATAGCTTAAACTATAGAAATTTGGGATAAAAAGGGCATGTCAAAAAATCGAGGTTCTTAAAACACTGAGACGCCTTTCCCAAACATTAAAACAAAGCATAACAGTGTTGGTTTTGTATACGCAGGCGCACGACTATGACCGGCGCGCGGACAAGCCATGGACGCGGTTGACGCCACGCGACAAGGCGGCCATACGCCGCGAGCTCAACGAGTTCAAGAGCTCCGAGATGGCTGTGCACGAGGACAGCAAGCACCTTACTAGGTATAAATACTGTGATACAGCCACTGAACAAGATCACACTGCACCGCGGCCGCCATACGCCGCGTGCATACGAGTTCAAGAGCTCCGAGATGGTCGTGTTCGAGGACAGCAAGCACCTCACCAGGTATATATACTGCGATACTGCCACTAAACTATATCACACTGCACCGAGGCCGCCATACGCCGCGAGCTCAACGAGTTCAAGAGCTCCGAGATTGCCGAGCACGAGGATAGTAAGCACCTTACTAGGTATAAATACTTTGATACAGCCACTGAACTAGATCACACTGCACCGAGGCCGCCATACGCCGCGAGCTCAACGAGTTCAAGAGCTCCGAGATGGCCGTGCACGAGGACAGCAAGCACCTCACCAGGTATAAATACTGCGATACTGCCACTAAAGTAGATCACACTGCACCGAGGCCGCCATACGCCGAGTGCTCAACGAGTTCAAGAACTCTGAGATGGCCGTGCACGAGGTTAGCAAGCACCTCACCAGGTATATACTTGTATACTGTGATACTGCCACTTAACTGGATCACACTTCAATGTGAAAGCCGGCGTATGCCTGTATGTTTGGATGGATATTTGTTGTCGCCGTTTGAGCTGCCTCCCCTTCTCTATATTTTCTGGTCCCCTGACTAGAGTCTACGTCTCCCTCTACAGATCCCACACCGATGACGAATCTTTTAACAACTAAGTCGGGCGTGACATTTTTGTGGGACTTTAATAGTGGACGGTTTGTGGTTGGGCACCTCCAAAACGCACCATACAGGGATCCTTTCCTTTAGATTCCTTTAGATCCTTTAGATTCGCTCTCACGCATGACTTGACACAATAGGTCGATCAGTCCATCAGGATCCCAGATATAGCTAGTCAAGTGCCTTTGCTAGACCTTCTGCTCAGCTCAAGACTCATCCACAAGACTATAGGGTTATGGTTCGAGCCCCACTGGGTTCATCAGATCATAGCTTAGTATATCTGTCAAGGTACCACAGGCCAAACCTTCGCGAGCATTGGTGGTAAAACACAAGCTCTGGCAATATGAGTCGGCAGATTGGGCGGTATGCGCAATTACTTTGCATCCGTCCCTTGAAAGCAGCGCTGCTTCAGTGAAAAGAAACTATCGGCCAGCGCCGTTGCTATTACTGAGGAGATCGTAATGGGAATGGAGTATTACATTCCACATTCTGATTTCATCAGTAAGGGCACACGTAACCGCTGGTTCAATCGCGACTGTGCTGATGCTGTTTCTCGCAAGCAGGCGGCGCTGCTTCAATTAGAAGGGCCTATCGGCCTAGGAAATCGTAATGGCAGGAAGTACTGTATTCCGCATTTTGATCTCATCAATAAGGCCACACTGATGCCGTTTCGCCTAAACAGGCGGCATATGGATCTCTCAAAGATCCCTGGGGTGATTCACTAAAAGCAGCTTACAATAGTGCTTTCAAGTCTTGCAAGAAGGCTTACATCAGAGCGGATGCCCAGCGTGTTGCTCGTACTGGCCACGAATTGTCAACGCATCCGACGGGCTCCCGTAGTTTCTGGCGTTTGGCTAAGGCAGCGCAAAACAACATCTGCCAGCCCTCGCTGCCACCTCTGAAATGTCCAGACAGGTCACTAGCTCATAAGCCGCTGCAGAATGTTGACTTACTAGCAAATTCTTTGCTGTTAACACCCGAATCCATGATGGTAATACACTGCCACCTGCATATTTATTGAGGCTCTACGATACCTGACATTAAAATCAGGTAGCGTGATGTTCGTGTAGGGTTGTAATCATTCGATGTCCGGAAAGTGGACCCGATGGCATCTCATTAGTTGTACTGAAACATTGTGTAGCGGAGTAGTCTCCCGTGCTTACGAGTCTGTAACAGCTCTTGTTTAATTTGGGGCGTGTGCTGGAGACTTGGAGAGAGGCCAATGTGCAACCAGTGCAGACCCAACCCAACTATAGACCGATAGCTGTCACCTTAGTATTGTGAAAAGTCTTAGAAAGGGTTCTTAAAAACCATCTAACGCGCTACTTAGAAGACCACTCTCTAATCAATGATCATCGATACAGATTAAGGACAAATCGATTGACCTGTAATAGTTACTCTTTAGTGTAAAAAACACATTTGGGGTGAGGATATTGACAGGCGCGGTGAGTCTTTGGCTGTCAGCTTTGAAATCGCCTAGGCTTTTAATAGTGTCTGTTACAGAAGTCATCTCACCAAGCTTCGTGCATACGGTGTGCCTGCTCAGTACTGTATTTGGTTGACTAATTTTCTGTATGAGCGTAGAATTTGCGTCCTTACGGATGGATGTAGTTCGCAGTTCATGTCAATGCCGGTACCTCATGGCTCCGTCATATCCCCCAAACTCTTTCTGCTGCATATCAATGATTCAATACCTGTTGAACGAACAGTGTTAAAAATAAACGTAATTATAAGTACACACAATATGCTACGAAATAACTGACAGTTGTGACCAACGATATTAAATAACCTAGATACACCAACACGAACAAAATCGTGGCTGAAACCTGACCAAAAGGTACATTGAACGATCCACGGAGCTCCGTATGATGATCGCGTAGTCAAAAACAAAATAAGGCTTTATTTAAACATTGAAAGTCACCTTTACTGCATTCTGTATAAGGTCTTAATTAAAGCATACACGTCAAAGAGATACGACAGTTCGAAATGACCTTATTTCTTTGCCTCTACGAACAATTCTGAATGCGCTGTTAGCAAAATAGCAGTTACGGACCGCGAAGAAAAGGGACGGCTATATTACCGACTATGCATTTCAATATCACAAATATTTTCTATTAAACCAGTTTATAGTAAGTATTATAACAAAATTTGTTTCAAACGCTTAATAAACAAACATTGATTAACTGTCGATACTTAACGTACTGTATGTATTGTTTTTGTATTTTTTCTCGGAGCTCTGCGGCATCTTTACTTTTCAACAGTCCGCGCGTGACTGTGAATCAAGAAGCGCTTGATTGGTGTTCAAGTACTTCTTGATTGGGACACATTTTGAGGTGACACTGGTGAATCTAGGGTATTTTATATCGGTGGTTGTGACGGAAAAATCTTTAAATAAAATTCGCCTAGCTCCCATTCGCCAATTTCGTACCGTCCGAAAAGGAATCATCGTCTCAAAAAATTCTCTTAGAGTTGTGATATTAGAAAACATAGGCCTAATTGCCCCTATTAAACATGTGGAAATTAGTAAAGTTTAATTACATAATAATATACATATGCTAGAAGCAAAATACGACAACTCGCCCTTTTCATATTAAGTTACCAATAACTGTATTTTTTCATTCTATTTTGAAACTTACGTTTGATGCATTTAGATTTGAAAGAGCGGTTGAATATTTGGCAGTTATGTGTACAGTACCCGGCCATTTATAAGTCGCATCGAGCTTTAGAAAGAAATACTCGGCTAGCTTCGGCTTCTTATAGCGCCGTCTCTGTCACCCTTGTCAACCTGACCTTTAGTCGCTGTCTTGTCAGTCGTAGTTCAACGGCGCTAAAGAGCAGTCCCGTTCTTCTTAAAAAATATGTATACAGAGTTGTAAAACAAATATAAATATTACGTGAGAGAAAGAAAAAAAATTAAGGATGATGATGGCGGTAATTATTTTATGAGAGGCTTCGCATATCTATTAGTTTTTTGTATTTTGTTATTTGGTTGGAAATAAAAATTATAGATTTTCTTTAAAATAAATAAATAAACATACGTAGTACATATATGTTGTCTTTTACATGTTTTCTTTTTGTATTGATTTCTAAAAAAAAACTAAAACAAAAGTTTAAGCTGCTCTTAATAGATACCGAACTGTTAGTGTTTCGTTTGACAAAGATGACGCTCTACAAAGCCGAAGGTAGCCGAATATCTCTCTCTAAAGCATGATGCGACTTATAAATGGCCTGGTACTATAACTTTGTTGTGTTGCGTTATCAGCTTTATTTATCACAACAAACATGTTGAAAAATACAAACAACTCTGTATATGTATATTTGAAGAAGAACGCAACTGCTCTTTAACGATGTTAAACTACGACTAACAAGTCGGCGACTAAACGTCAGGTTGACAAGGGTGACAGAGACGGCGCTATACGAAGCCGAAGCTAGCCGAATATCTCTTTCTAAAGCACGTTGCGACTTATAAACGGCCTGGTACTACTGTACACTGACGATCGGATATTTTTGAAAAAAATATGGTATATTCCTATAATAGGAGTCGTTTATTATTTGTTATGAAGTGTTTATTGTTTATTATTAAGTGTTTATTTTACGTCAATGGTATTCCTATAATATCGCAACTGCTGTAATAATACAACAGATAATAAACTTAATCAATTCACATTTTTTTTTAATTGGTTGGTTAATTCCTACAGGTTCCATAGACCATGACGGCTGTGCGTGAAAGGCGGGGGTGCGGCGGTGAGGGCGGCGGGCGCGTGAAGTATACGCACGCATCCGAACCACCGCCCGACGCAGCGGTAAAGTGTTGAATATTCTAAACGACTTCACACCACACCTGTACCACTAACACTCACTGTACACTGTTGCCGCGCTCTGCTCGTGTCCTCTTACAATTTTACTTGTATCGTAGTTATTGCCGAGTACAATTTTATTATTATTATTATTACTACATAATTATTATTATTAATAAATCGTTTATGTTAAGTTGACGTTTTCTAAGCGTACCTATACATTCTTTGAATTGACCTTTGCGAAAGGTTAGTGATACTGATTATTGTGGTGGAGATTATGCGCTTGGATGCTCGGTGAACTGTGAGATTTACGAGTGAATCATTTTGATATTTGGGACGTATCCGATTTAGGGCTCTGTGTAGTCTTGTGATTTTTATATTATATTGCTAGCTTTTAGCTTCATAGTCGTGTTAAGCTAGATTTCGATTCGAGAAAATATTTATTTATTTTTATTATTATAAATTTGATGTTGTTACGGTCACAATTTCGATATTTTTAAAAATAATTTCCACAATTTTTTGATTATTTTTAATGTTAGCGGCGTACAGCGATCGTTGCCCTTAGTTTGCACTATTAAGGGGTTGTTTGTTAATTAGCCTCGGCCGCATCGGTCAGTGCGAGATACTACCAATGATTTTCATTCCTGTTTCGTCACTTAACTGTGAAACTATTGTTCAACTGTCCGGGTGTGTAACCTTTGTATGTTGATAGATGCAGAGATATAGGTGTCATATTGGATATGGAAACGAAATGTTGTACAATCGACTCTTTACGTTATTTCTTCTAAATTGTCTTAGAAGTGCTTCCAATGCTGTGCAACATAACAATAAATGATTTGTACAGGACTCGGTTCCTATGTAACATAAGTTGTTTAATAGCGTTCTTGTAGTTATTGAATAACTGTATTGCATGTCTGTTAGTTAATTCAATATTATTGGGAAATAAATATGTAGTTTAAACTTGGGAATTCTTCAATATTTCTATTTCGTTTTAGTACTAATATTTCACCTACTATCACTATCTCAACGAAAAAATATATATATATACTGTATTAGTAAAATTTTAAAAGATTTTTGGTAAAAGTAGTAAGATTTCATATTACGCTTCATAAATTGTATTCGAGATACGTGTATAATTAATTAATTGTATGCAATAATATTATCAAATTATTTTGTTATAGTAACTGTAATCTTCTCATAATGCGAGGTAAAGTGTATTCAAGATGTAATAGTTTACGTTATTGAGATTATTTAATTAAGACACTTGGTCCAGTAAGTGGGATTTCTAGCTTACAGGGAAGAATCAGTGTTGGGCGAATGAGTCGTATTTTGTAATGGGACGTATATTTGACACACTGACGCAGCTCAATGGCGGACGAGGCGTAGATAGGTTATATAGTGTCCATCCTGACGACGCAGGTTAAAGAGTGTCCATCCTGACGACGCGAGCAACCTCGGTGGGAACAACTTGTTAGTCGACTTGTCACTCTAGCTTAGGTGTAAGCTATACAATGTGTAACGAACTATTCCGCTGTGTAACAACTTAACGAATGATCGAATGACGTTATGAATAAAATTGTAGTCGTTATATTATAAAGTTATGCCGTTTGAGATTACATGCCATCACTTTATAAGGAAACTCCTTAACTCACTTTGTAGATATTTTACAGTGAACTTTTTGGGAATACGAAAGCCTTAGTCTTGATATCGTCAGTCATTGCTCATGTGAAAGAGTTCTCAAGTTGCATTTGAACAGGGGAATATATTTTTATTTCGAATATTTAAACATCTTTCATTGGACATCATGGAGTTACGAGGTTTGTTTATGAAAGTGACTGTACGGTATGTATGAGTGGTGACAATGGTATATTTTTTTTCTCATTATGAAGACCATCGTAATTTAGGTCGACTTGATAGTATATCGAGCAATAATAATAATGCTATCTATCGGTCTGTTTCAATTGTTTAAAAATTTTAATGTTGAGATTTTTTTACATAATTGTATAGTTAGTTTACAACGTAGTGTAACTTAATAGATAGGGATCAGTTTAATAAATCATTTTTATAAAGCGATATAATAATTATTGTTCAGTAGCGGTGCCATTACTCGTGACGTGTTCGAAACTCGATCAAATAACTAACACAGTTCTTGTTGGAAGCGATATCTTTTAGATTATGATACTGTTGTAAGAAAAGCACTACATAGTCAAGGACTGAAGTCAATTTAAGAACACAGACTATGTAATATTTTACTAATGGGCATAAAGATAGATTGTCATAATTTGCACTGTCATCATGTTATTCGCATTTGTAATAATACCATCCAACATGATACTAACTCAAATATGAATACATTGCAAGGTTACGACAGCGAGCTACAAAATGTTTATACTTACAATGGTTACTCTTGAAACCATTCCAATAAAGTTGAAAGAGAAAGCCAAAATGATGACTTATTTTTCTAAAATATTTTGTTAGATTTGCAATAAAATGTAAGGTAACACGTAGATGTTTATCGATATATAAATAAATAATAATTAAGACATTCAGATTCCCAAAGATCTAAGGCTCAACTAAATTCTTTTAGCTAGCTTACATATTGCCGTTGTTGACGTATCTATTTGTATATTGCGAAATGTTACATATTGGCTGAATATTAGTTCTTCTTAAGTGTGTTTTGATGTACCTAAACAATAGTCTCTTCAAATATTACAGGCATCACAATATAACAGTGTATATATAACATAATATTTTACCAATAAAATGTGATACGATGTTTCTTACTTTAATAACTTTAATTTTACTAAGTTTGTTTTTACTGCTTACGAGTATGTTAAACGATCATCATCGCTCACGGTTTCAATTTATTAGAGAGACTTGCACAACTTTGATATGTATTGTTGCTGAATTAATTATGTAAAATAAATAAAATACTACTTTCAAACGAACCAAACGCTAACCCCTGAAAATAATTTCTATCAGGGCATTGTAAAACGTATCTGTCTGTTTTTCCAATGGGGATCCCACCGGCGATTTCTCGCGATAAGGCGATACGTCGACACGACCATTGTTAAATGTCATTCGCATACATATTCTAACCTCATACTATTGATATTGGAAAAATCACTCGACAAGCCTTTATGCACAGTTGTTGGATGTAAAAAAGTGGTGTAGATTTGTTCCCAACGGATGCAGCATTAAGAAAAAAGTGGGAACAGCCAGTGACGTAAAAATTTGTTGCAACTAATACCCAATTCCATGTCGAATACATTATAATAATATGTGAATAATCAGTAGACATTTTTTTCGTACTGCATAGGGGCCGCGTGGTGGGTCATGGCCCAATCTCCCTATTCCATCCATAGGGAAGGCCTGTGCCCCAGCAGTGGGGACATTAATAGGCTGATGATGATGATGATGAAGTAGAAATTTAAAAAATAACACATCACCAAACACTCGCAATGCATAACAGCGGTCGAGTCGCCACTGGCGCCATCTCCTTTACGTTTTGTGCCTGGCACCCCATTGATTGAATCACAAGATAGTATAACGGTGGCAAGTTAATTTTTCTTAATCAAATATATTTAACAATTTAGATCAACCGCTGAGCAAGTCACGCTTAATGATGCTCAATTAGCAACAGTACAATGTTGTTATCGTGTAGTCCACGGGAAATTTATACTATGCTACTATATTGTAAACAAGCGTACGTTTAATTGATAACCATACTTGAATGATCAATAATTGAATAGACTCGTTTCGTTAAAAATAATTATTACGAAGAATCAATAAACTGACGATTGAGCAGAATAATTTTTAATAAGGTTTTCTCGTTATTTTGGATAGATTTATTATATATTATTTGTGAACTGCGTTTATATTATTTATGTACGAGGTTACATATTATTATTACCGAGAAGACGTATTTAAGTTACACGGCAACAGAATCTAATGTGATTAGTATGTTTCTAAAGCAATTATATCGATAAACATGATTTTTATTGATGTCTGTATATAATTTTAATATCATGTACATTTGTGGAATCTCTTTTATTTCCATTGATATCGTGCGTATCGTTTGTGCTATTACATTAAAATATAATAATTGCTATCTTCAGTAAACTGTATACTGTTGCTTTTATTTTGAATATTGTGTAAATTATTAATGACATACTGTAATGAGTATATTTACTGATAGCCATAAAGTAACTTGTTTTATATAAGATAAGTTTGTAAATACCATGATTATACATTAAGTTTTATACTTGATTGTGTTTGTTTTATCTCCATATCCTTTCTATCATAAAATACAATGGAGTCTGTTGCAGTAATCTTTATCTGTTATGAGTATACTCAAGAAGTTCTTTATTTGCAGGATAATTTTAACTAGCTGTGACAAATTCTTGTTCATATAAACTTTATTGAGGACCATTGTATCGTGAAGTCATATGTCGATGATGGACAAGAGCTATTTACATTATCTCAACCAATTCTATCAATTATATCAAATATAAAAGCTCAATTCTGTACAGATGATTTTTCTGTGAAAAAATATGCTTGTTTGTCACAAACAAGCATATGGCCCGCCTGATGAGAAGCGGCTACCATAGCTTATAGACCCATTCAAAACCAGAGTATCACTTGCTCATTGTCTGCCCTGACAATCAAAACACCACCAATAGGTAGTGTTATTTCATTCTATATAAGGAAGGAGTTACTTTCCCAAATGGGCACTCCAACTTGAACGAGAAATCAACTTTTTCTCTACCGCTCTTAAATAAATTGAAAATGTTTCATTCTTGTTTCAAAACGCAATTTTAAGCTTTGAAATAGTTTTAACAAACATTCTAGTACAGTTCCAGTAGAAATTTTCACATTGCAATCATCTATAGCAATGACTTTTTTAATTTTTTTTCTTTTATTTTAAACACACACCATTTAGCCTAGCCCCCAAAGTAAGCACTGTAAGGCTTGTGTTATGGGATGCTACATATATAAGTATCTAATATATAAAATTTTCGTGTCGCGGTGTTTGTGGTTAAACTCCTCCGAAACGGCTTTCCCGATTCTCATTAAATTTTGTGTGCATATTGGGTGGGTCTGAGAATCGGACAACATCTATTTTTCATCCCCCTATATGTAATCCACCCCTAATTTTTTTTTATAATTTTAGATAAAAAAAAATATTTAAATTTTTTTATGATACATCATACAGAAATACACTTTCTTTTCATCCTACCCTTGGGGCCAGGTTTGCTTCTCGCAGAATGATCCCAACGTCGCTGCCAATTCTGTCGCCGATGTTGTCCTTCAGGGTATGGAACTTTTTGTTCCTTCCTCTGTGGTTCCCATTGGTGGCAAATCCCAGCCTTGGTTTGGTCACAACTGTAAACTGGCATCTCGCCAAAAACAGATGTGTTATCAGGCCTGGGCAAACGCAGCGGCGGTCGGGGATAACAACACTAGCGATCTCAAAAAGAAGTATAACTTGGCCTCCAGGTCCTGCAAAAGAGTAATTGCCAGAGCGAAGTCGGAGCACATTAGCAGCATTGGCGAGAGATTAATAAAACTTCCCTCTGGAACACGCGCGTTTTGGTCTCTTGCCAAGGCTGTTGAAGGAAATTTCTGTAAGCCATCCCTTCCACCCCTGCACAATGGCGACGAATCGATGGCCCATACTGCAAAAGAGAAAGCGGATCTTTTATGCTCACTCTTTGCGTCTAACTCGACTCTAAATGACAGGGGATACATACCGCCGACCATCCCGCGGTGTGAGAGCTCTATGCCGGAGATCCGGTTCACACAAAGCTTAGTGCGTAAAGCACTCTTTTCCCTTGTCATCCACAAGTCGAGCGGGCCTGATGGAATCTCACCAATTGTGCTGAAGACGTGTGCTCCTGAGTTGGCTCCGGTACTAACGCGTCTTTTCCGGCTCTCCTACTCTTTAGGTGCGGTTCCGAACTCATGGAAGACAGCTTTAGTGCACCCGATTCCTAAAAAAGGCGACCGCTCACTCCCTACTAATTATAGGCCTATAGCCATCACTTCCTTGTTCTCCAAGATAATGGAGTCCATTATAAATTGCCAGCTCCTGCGGTACCTAGAGGACCACCAGCTGATCAGTGACCACCAGTACGGTTTCCGTCAGAGTCGCTCGGCTGGTGATCTACTAGTATACCTAACTCATCGTTGGGCAAAGGCGATCGAGACCAAGGGGGAAGCATTGGCGCTCGGTCTGGATATCGCGAAGGCCTTCGATCGGGTTTGGCACAAAGCGCTTCTTTCGAAGCTTCCTTCTTATGGGCTTCCTGAAAAGCTGTGCGTTTGGATCACTAGCTTTCTTGCGGACAGGAGCATCAAGGTCGCAGCCGACGGTGCGTGCTCGGACTCCAAACCCGTAAACGCTGGTGTTCCACAAGGCTGTGTGCTATCGCCTACGCTGTTTCTTCTTCATATCAATGATATGCTTCAAATTGATGGCATTCATTGCTATGCAGACGACAACACGGGTGATGCCCTATATACCGGCCGCGCCAACATTTCACGGGAAAACGTCATCTAGTGCCGGAACAAACTTGTGTCTGAAGTCGAAACTTTGTTAAACCGAGTAACGAATTGGGGCCGACTTAATCTAGTCCAATTTAACCCTTCGAAGACACAAGTATGCGCGTTCACCGCAAAAAAATACCATTTGTCGTATCTCCTCTTTTTGAGAACACTCCTCTAACTGCCTCAGCTAGTATTGGAATTCTTGGCGTTGACATATCGAGCGACGTCCAGTTTCGGGATCATTTAGAGGGCAAGGCCAAATTGGCCTCTAAGAAGCTTGGTGTGCTCAATAGATCGAGAATGTACTTCACACCGGCCCACCGACTGCAGCTTTATAAGGCACAGGTTCGGCCTCACATGGAGTACTGCTCTCATCTTTGGGCGCGGGCACCCCAGTACCAGCTTCTCCCTTTGGATCGCATCCAGCGCCGAGCGGCTCGAATCGTTGACGACCAGGACCTTTCCGATCAGCTTGATCCTTTGGCTTTCCGTAGGGATGTAGCTTCGCTCTGCATCTTCTATCGCATTTATCACGGGGAGTGTTCTGAGGAATTGTTCGGATTAATTCCAGCTGCTGCATTTCGCCATCGTACATCGCGACAAAAATTTCATCCCCATCATCTTGATGCGTGGCTATCCACAACCGTGCGTTTTTGTCGAATTTTTTTACCACGTATGACAAAACTGTGGAATATGTTGTCGCCAACAGTGTTTCCGGACCAATACGACCCAAGAACCTTCAAAAAAAGAGCGTACTCCTTCCTTAAAGGCCGGCATCGCATTTGTGATACTCCTGGTGTTGCAAGTGTCCATGGGCGACGGTGATCACTTACCATCAGGTGAGCCGTCTGCTCGTATGCCCCCTATAACATAAAAAAAAAACATACAACCCTAAATTTTCACCCTTCTACCACCAACCCCTATTTTTTTATGGCGGTACGAAGTTCGCTGGGACAGCTAGTATTTATATAGAAATATATATTACACATCCATGACTGGAGTACAAATGCTCATATTCATCACACAAACCCCCACCGGGATTCGAACCCGATCGAGTCCGGACCTCTCGAGTCGGCGACACCATGAAACCCGGCGTACAAACCACTCGGCCACGGAGGTCGTCAATATATAATATATCTATGCCAAACAACATTTCTAGTTTGTCGTTCGATAAAAATCGGTAAACATGGAAAATACATATTTATGAAGGCTTTGACCCGTGAGACTGTGGTAGACTTTCGACTGTGCCCTAAGCTACGGCGCGAGTGTCTCGGGAGAAAGTTAACTGTAGTGCGTGCCCGTTACCGCGCGCCGCTGAGGGCGCCAGTCGACGCGCCGGCATTACACCCGACGCGCGCGCAATGCTCACTGCTCGCGCCGCTCACATCGCTCACCCGGCGAGATAACTGAAAGCGACAGTGCTAAACAAAGTGCCTCAATAAACGTGCTCAACCAGTGCATTGTGCTCGTACCTTTGTGCAAAGGTCGCAGTGTAGAGTGCGACGACCCCCTCCAAGGACACGGGGGAATGACGTTCTCCGGGAACATGAAGGAGAGTAAGCCGCGATCCATGAAAGACACATGGGAGTCGGAGGTGAGCCATTAATTATGTATCTAGCACGCAACCGATTCACGGCATTGTTGTTATTGTTTAACGATGTCGTTTGAAAGTTATCTCAATTGTTGTTGTTGGGGCTTTCTCATTATCTATTATTTCACTGCCACTTTCTATTCGGTGACTTATGCACTTTTAATTCGAGCGTAAAGCTTGACTAATAAGTTACAATTAGCATAGTAAAAGTTATAGTAATACAGCTAGAAAATATATCGGTAGGTGTAAAGACAAAGCTTTTGCCTTCTGCTATAAAGAACCTGGGTTCGAATCCCGCTAAGATATTTTATTAATGTCATAAGCACGAACATTTTTGTTTTCCAGAGTTCTTATTATAAATTGACATTATTTAGAGTCCATGTAACAAATTCTGCTTATTTTGGGGGAAAAAATAAAAGTAGGGCATAACGGATTTTCGCTCCCATCTGGGGAACTAACCTCAACTTTACAGGAGTCCATTACCTTATGGCGATGATGACGGTAAAGTTTGGTATAGGGTATAGGCGCGAGACTAAGTGATTAATACTGACATCACAAGTGTCTAGGCTACCGTAGCTGCTTACTAGCAGACAGGCAGTTTTCTTATTGGCCACCTTTTTCACATAAAAACAAAATTTTTTAATTGGAATATATTTATGACCTATAAAAATAGCTATCGTAATCTGAAAAACCAATGTAAAACTATCGAATAAATCTGTCAATTTTCACCATTATAAAACCATCAAATACAAAAAATAAACTCCAATATATGTTTGAATAAATAATAAATATATAAGTTTATTGTATTGCTAAATTTGTTGGCCAGCCAATAGAACCAAACTGCTATATTGATTTGGTTGAATTTCATCCTAAACATATTATAAACTAATGCTCTATCTATATTCAAGTAATACTTACTGATTGACTGCAACAGGATCTGTCTGTTTACATTTGAAATGCAACCACATAAAACTGATCGACTAATACTCTGCGGTTATAGCTTTCGTATCAAGTTATGTAGGTTGCTTATTTAGTACCTATCTTGATATAACAGAAGTAGTAATCTTAACTCTTCACTATAGGAAGAATTGCCGATTTCTCTTAATTAGACAAAATGATTCGGTGTGAATTACTGTGTACTAATAGAACAATAGTAGTAGGTAGATCATCAGTAGTGATTGGTTGACGATGAAACTATAATAAGAAAGCAACCTTATAAAAAGCGCAGCTAGGCACATATTTCTAAGTTGCACTGAATCTGACATTATGGCACAATCACACATATCACAACATATTTAATTTTGTATTATGGAAATCGGAAACACAAACGATTTCCATAATACAAAATTAAATAGTTTAATACTCACCTTGGGATCAGCGCAAGGAATATGTGTGATTGTGTTTAATATTATTAGACTTTTTGTTACATTACATTCTTGTTACAATATTACGTACTTACATTTGTTCTTACATTCATAACTTCCAAAACATTACGGTTACTACCAACTCTAGTTAAATCATAGCTACCCTAGATATAATCAAAACAGTCTTGCTAAAGTAAACGATTTCTATCAGAGAAAGGTAAACTGCGTACTTACTAGGGTTGCCAGATGGCCGGGAGTTCCGGGATTGTTTCGGATTTTTGCGTGCTGTCCCGTGCCCAGTAATTAGACCTTATTGTCCTGATTCGGATAACGTGCTAGTTTCGTAACAAAATAAAGGAATAACGAATGAAACCTGCTTGATGATATAATCCTGGGGGGTGATGGGGGGTTTGATTCGATCCTTTTTTTTCGCCATTTTTGGATTTTGTCAGATTTGATTTGATAAGCCATCATCTGGCAACCCTAATACTTACATATCTAGGCTACTAGTGAGCGAAAATATATGTTCCGCCACCTGATCAACACACTACCATAGCAGGAAATTATTATAGTTGATAGATTGATTAGTTACGTGTATGTTTCCGTCCTTGCCTATTTAACGAGCTGACCGCCTCTCACTTATATCAAATTTTGTAGGTGAGCTTGCCGATGAGGACAAGACATGACTGTGTCAAATTGATAATACACGCCGGCTAGGGACGAAAGCAAACTAGTTTCGTTCAAGCAGGAAATGTGAATACTGAGAAACTTTAACCTCGTTTCTTAACCTAACACCATTTGATAAAAAGTCGGATAATTGACAAAAAATGTAAATGGATGGGAGTTTAAATAATTCAAAGAATATTTAATTAATCGTTTTTTAATGGATTATTAAAACCTGAGATTACTCAACGCTGAGTTTTTTTAGGATTTGATGGGGCAACGAAAGCGTGGAGGTCCCTCAATCTTGGTTGGAGCAATCCAGAACTAGTTTTTTTCATCTGTGTTGTCCCCCCTCCCCCCTCTTGTTGGGGCCCCTGGGCCACAGACTTAAATCCGGCCCTGGATAGAATATTTTGGATATATGTATGTAGGTTTTTCTTATGCATCGTATGATGAAATATACAAATCATTAGAGACATACAAACTCTCATAATTTTATAAATTCTGAGCCCTGATAATTTCACGAGTGTATTCGCATGTAAAGCGAAGGTAACTTGAGAAGAGATCATTTCCAAATAGAAAATGTTTTGAGATATAAAAATCGAGCAGCAAAATATATATTCAAAATGTGCTCAATTAGTGATAAAATAAAATATGACCCTATTTATATATTTGTTATTTTTTCAGCAATTAACTGCTAGATGTTTAATACTAAAGAAAATATTACTAGAAAAAAATCCCCGTGGACCAGGCGTGTCATTTCAAAAGCGATCTCAGTTAAAATGTCATTTTAATAAATAGACACGATCTTGTTATCAATACCAAACATTTTACGCACTTTAATTTAATTTCGCGTATATCAAGCTATACTTGATAGACGGGTAATTAAAATTATCGTTTACGAGTAAATCCCGAAAGCTCCGCTTGGGCCCCTTACTATATGCGTTTTGTACTCAGATTAGGATTTGTAGATAAAGTGACTAGTTCGATGTTGACTTTGCAGGGTTCCAAACTAATAAACTTAAAAAAAAACGAGCGAGCCTTACAGTAGTCGCGTATGATGTGTAATATTTGAAACCGCACCTTATTTTAGTAAAAAAAGAAATGAAACCTACTACAAAAAACATTTGAACATTATGTTCTTAAATCAAATCAAATAGTCGCTTTCGCGACTTCCTGTTACACACTTCCGTCCCATTTTACGAAATCACTCCCACAAACTGCAGGAAAGCGAGAGCAAAGATGTTACACATCAAAAGAAACTTCGACATATCTTTTAGTAAATAATTTATCCCATGCTTAAGCTTTTGTTAACAAAGATCTAACAAAATACCAACTTATAAATTTCTCGTGCAGATTGTAAAAGCCTGTCAATGTATTTAGCAAATTCGAAAGCAGTTTTAGGCGATGGACTGACAAACTGACATTTTTATTTGGGATAACATCTTAGATTTCTGAGAAGTTCGACGGCGCAGGTGGCTAGCGCGTTTGGTTTGCGATCATTGAAGTTAAGCAGCTTTGGCAAAGACCAAACGTTGGACGGCTGACCAAAAACTTATTATTTCGAGCTCTACTGTGCTTCGAAAGGAACGTTAAGCTGCATCTGCAGCTGTAAGCACCCACCAATTCGCACTGGGCACATGGTGGATCATGGCCCATTATCTAAACCTAAACTTAAATTTGACAGCAGTGTATCCTTGTCATTCTCTATACAGAATGAAAAGGAGAGACTGATTACTGTATACGTTCATTGTACACATTGATACTTCTCGATTATTCATATTTTATTCATCAGAAAAATAAGTAAGGTCTATCGGGCCTGGGATCTTGGACTATTATGTTAAAATGAAAAGACTTGCAGTATGGCGATATACAAGAGTGATGTATATACCAATGTAAGTATGTTAATATTTCATAGTAGAGCATGAAAAGCTGCCAGCTACCGAACGCGTGAAGAATATACTGGTATATAAATACCGTATGTATGGTTATTTCTCAACGATTGACATCATCCGATTTACACACATAAATAGGACATATAATGTTTGTTGTACGCTAATTCTATCTATACAATTGATAAATATTAATATAAATGTGTCATTAAGAAGTAGCTGCCTACATAATGTATACTCATTACTTATGAACAGACTTCCTTTGTTTTGGATGAGTACATGGAACAGTAGGCGTGCGTACCATCTGCCTCGCTACCTACGAATATCCTAGACCTCTTTACGTACAAGATAAATACTGACAATTCAAGAGATTCTACCTATCTCATTGTTGTGATTAAAAAGCAAAGCATTTTCATATTAAGTAGGTATTTATTTACACATCCACGTAAAGGTGTAGGTATATTTAATTCGTAAAGAAACCATAAAATTCCTTGTACTCAGTATTACTAGCCCCGTCCCATTCTGATGTTTCATTCTGTTAGAACTTATAACAAAGTTGTCATACATCTCTCATTTCTAATCTCATTTTAACAAAAAAGAGTTTAAACAAAAAGGAAAACTTTCGGTGATGGTTTGTCACCAGTATTAAAATGATTGAGTACTAAGGTGTCTGTTCTGAAAACATCTGGATTGAGTGAAGTGTGTTAGTGGAATTAACGGCGTAAACGCAATGCTGTCCGTGATCCGGGTCGACGCTCTGCCGCCGCCGATTGAGGTGATGACAAGTCTTTCGCGTTTATTTTCATACCTAATTTTTTTATATAGATCTTCACTCGTCATTATTCTACGGACAGATTCGAACACGCTGTTAAAGACTATAAAATGAAAAAGTCCCAAAAATATGGATTAATTCATTAAATCTGCGAGTACTAAAAGGCATATTTTTGTAAGATAACTATGCCGATTCTGGTATTATTCTGTTAACTTCAAACTTTAACATCAGTTGCACTCTTGTAAATTTTAGGTTTAGAGAATCATACCCGAATAGACACCGATATTAGTATAAATGATTTTCTATTGGCGT